ATATTTGTGAAATTACTTATTAATCGATTAAATCGATAATCTATTTGATATTAAGAAAAATTTTCTAGTAAGTTTGGTTTTCCAATGCAAACTCCTTGTGATTGTTTTAATTAATCGATAATACAGATGTTTTGCTCTATACACCTGTTTTCCTTATTATAATTATGTCGATAAATTTCGATATTTTCATTTTTCATTAATTTAATTATAATAATTTTACTTTCTTTTCATTCCTCGTTGAAATTAAAAAAAAAAACTCAAAGTCACATCCTTAATCTGAACTCAAACAGCCAAAGGAAATATGTTATATACAAATTCCCTCTCGATAAACATTTTCTTCGTATGCATAACTGTCGCCTCATCAATTTACTGCCTGGCATTTTCCCGGCCACCAAATGGAAATGGAAATGCATTAAAAATTGATTTACGCCGGCTATTTACGCTCATAAATTTGTAGCTATTTAGCGGTTCTCCAAAACAACCAACAAATTGTCAACATACATTCACAAACAACGACGGAGGCAGCTCAAAAAGAGAAAAGACAAAAAAACTGAAATATTACACTCGAATATTAAAACAACAAAAGACAGAGGTATTGGGGGAGTACACCGGGAAAAATACAGACTTCCTTAAAAAAAATTAATTAAATTTATTGTCTAGACTATCTCTTCTTGTTTAAGCATTTTTTCATGTAAGGAATATTAATATAGGTAAATCTCAAGGGAGGATAGAAGAAATATTATCCATTTTAACCATAAACTATTTCTTTTATTTTTATTTTAGAAAATATGGAATTTCCACAAATTACAAATTGTAATAAACAGATCCTTAAATACATTTAAGAAAACCTTATTATTTAAACATTAACAATATTTTGTTTTCTGTTCGATACAAACATACCTTAAGCAGTGCCAAATATTTTTGCTCATATTTTTGCTTATTATGTAGTATGGAAGAATATATATGTTTTTTTAAGTGTACTCAAGAAGGAGGGCATTTGGACAGAGACGGGCGACAGCCGCTTGAGGAGACGAAACGAAGCGCAGCGGAAGCCACGCAAAACGAGAACAAGAACAACAGAGAAAACATAAATGAAAATGAAAACAAAACGAGGAAAAAACATAAAACATAAAAATAGAATTGACAATGCGTTGACAGTTGTCTCTGAAAGGGAAGGGGATGAATACGGAGGACAGGGGACATCCAGCAGGCTTAATAGGAGATAATATGAAGAGTTTTATAGGATCTAGAAGAACTTCTTGGCTGAATATAATTATAATAATAAAGATTTTTTAAATAAAAAGATTAAATATATTAAAAAAATATTATTTAAATAAATTAATTTCCTATACATTGCTTTGTTATAGTTGCTATGTTAATAATAAAGCAAATATTTAATAACACAATGATATTACAAAGCTGCTTAGGCTACAATTTCATTTCATAATATGATCTCTCCCAGGACTTGAATGACATCCTCAATCGTAGTTTGCTGAGCTGCTAAGTTGCGGTGAGGGAATCATTTCGGGATGGAAAAGTGGCATCATTAGGATCGCATTTATGGGGATCGGAAGTGACAGAACCCACTCATAGATGGCACATTAATTTTCAGTAGAAATTGGTTCAAGTTAATGTCCTGCAAACGGACGTTCGGGTCATCTGTCCGATTGTCAAAGGTTTCTATATTGATTTCACAGTTATTGCTGCTGACACAGGCCCCGGATTCGAATGAAGAGTGTAATATTTCAATTTTTGAACCGGCCACAATGGTCAACTGTCCCGAAGGATGGGGGACTTTGTCACAACTGCGGACGTGGCACAATTTAAACTGCCTGACCCTCGACCCACGACCCTCGACTGTTGACTGGTGACTGGTCACCGGGTCATCGGTCTGTCCACCCCCTTTCACGGCTCCTGGCCGCCACCACCTCCATTGTCCTGCATTGTCCTGGGCGTCCCGCTTCGGGTTTATTGTTATTGTTATTATTCGAAAGTGTTCCTCCTGCAACGGCCGAGCGGAAGTATTCAGGCCCATTGTTGCTGCACTTCTACGGCCTTGACGGAATCGGCTCGGGAACAAGGAACGGGAATGGGGACTCGGACACGCGCCATACGGGGACTAATGACGAGGCCCGACCCACGGAAGACCGTTCAAGTGCTCCTTGGAAAGACACTGACCAAAAAATATATTAATTTTGATGTTTTGTATTTTTGTAAGAAAAATCAAAGTGAAGTTTTAAAAGAAAATTAGAAAACAAGTCTCTTTAAACATTTATTTTGCATTTGACTTTGATTTAATTGTTAGTTCCAAGTAAGTTTTCCTCAGTGTCTTCGGCATTCCAGCCTCAACCCCCAATTGTCCAAAAGGAGCCAACTATCCGTCCATCTGTGGGTGGATGTATCTATATCTATGGTATATGTGCGACTCATAAAGCCGGGGCTAAATGATGCAAGCAATGCCCCTTCGGTTGTTGCTGCTGCTTTTGGCACACATGACAGCCAGCCAAAAACCAATAAATGTTCCCAAATTTATTGCTTTTCATTCAAAAATTACTTTTGTTTGTTTCGGTTTTTCACAATCAAATCACACACACAGAAATCCATCCCATCTATCTATCTATCTATCCAGCCCGGCCATCCCCCGAGGTTATTTGCCGGACAGGACATCAGTTTTTATATCGCAAATTGTCAACAAGAGCGGCAGCAAAACAACAATCAACAAGGAAGAAGTACTAAAACGAATACATATAAAATTGCATGTGTCGAAATATCAATCTTTGAGATACAAAAAGAGGAAGAGGAAGTATTTGCAGCGTAGTTCTTTTGGGAATTATAAACTCTAAGAGGAGTTCAGTTAAGAGTTGTTTAATATTTAAATAAAGATCATATTAAACTAGATTTTATCTTACTAATTAGCACATTGAGAGACCCACCCGCGAAAGCTACACCTCTTTCTCGATTTGCTCCCATCAAAGTCGATTTATTCCCGCGATTAAGACAAAAGGCATTTCATATTTTAGCCAATTAGGAGAACGATCGCAACAAGAGAGATCCAACAAGCATCACTAATTGGCAGACGTTTAACACTCCCCCACTATTTCCGATCTCCGCCCCCAAGTAGAGCCCATAAAACGATTTCCAAATGAGAACTGGAGGCACTCAGGCTGCCAGCGCAGACGGAGATGGAGATCATCATCATCATCATCTGCAGAAGCATCGTGAGCAGAGGAGGAGGAGGAGGAACATAAAGGGGTAAGGAATATGTAGGCTGTGCTCCATGGCTGCAGTTCCCCCACGCGCTAGTATGCCCGATGATTAATTGCTCCGAAAATGTTTGTTTTCATAAACAATTTTTTTAATAGGCCCTCGCATGTGTTGGCTGTCGACTGGTCGTGGGTCGTGGATCTTGGGTGGGTGGGGTCAAAGAGTTAAATCGATCCCAGTGTTGTCGCTGTCGGATCTTAATGCAGATGACTCCGATGACTCCGCGCAGCTATTTTCGTGTCCTCCGTCCCCTGATCGATGCACTCGTGTTGGGAATGTAAAAAGAGTTGATAAATCAAAATGCCTCAAGCTCTTTGTGTCAGACAAATGAGTTGGCGGGCCATTGGCTTATTGAAGGTGTTAATTGGGCGGCAATTAGGTTGGACCTTAAGCGGTTGAAATTCATAATTCCCTGGGTCTTAAAATATATACAGTGAAGCCCGCGGGGCAAAAATAGAAATAGATCAGAAACAATAGAGCAAGAAAAACATTTTCCCAAATGCGAGGGAAATTTATGAAATTCTTGTGTGCTCTCTGGGTATTTTTGACCAGATTTTGTTCAATTAAAAATAAAAAATGTTTTCAACAGGTGACAAAACAATTTTACGGCCCCAAAAAAACCACACGATGCCATAAAATGGGATTAGCTGATGATCAAAGGAGAGGGAGCTCTTTTTCTTGTTTCCTGATGCCTTGTTTTGAGTTAGAGCGACCATCAAATATTTTATGCATTTTAAATTGCTGCTAAAAAATAAAAGGCCTAACGTGCCGTGCCTTCAGCTTCTTTCACTCCAGCCATAAATCTCTTTGATGCTTTCCTGGGCTGACAGGTAGGATGGCAGGCCCTGGAGACTCTAGTGTCGGTCCAAGGACAGGGATCTCAAGTGCGTTATGAATATGAAGCAATAATATGTTTATGAACCTCATAACGATGCAATTTATGAGGTCATCTGCCATTGTCCGCCGCTCCTTTGTAGGTCAGCCTTTGGCCTTTTGTTTTGCCGATCGACAAAACACATAAATAATCCTCGCATCGAAGGGGAACTGGTTTGCCAGAGGCCAGAAAGAGGCACAGCTGTGTCATGCGGCATGCGGCGTCTACAGGTGGAAGTCGCTACAAAGGCAGTCGGAAACTCAAGGATGCAGTCAGCAACTAACTGAAATGTAGGTATATATTTAGTTGATATCTTTACACCTATATAAACATTCAACTAAGCTTCTTCACAATCATTATTATAATTATATTCAATATTCATATATTTTATCCCAACATTCAATCATTTATTGCGCCGCATTTATATACAAATTTAATACTTATCCTACCATCATATCGATATTAGTTTCATAAATCAGCTGCAAAGACACCTAAATGACTAATTTAATCAATTTAAATATCTGTTTTTAAATGCCATTAATAGGTTAACGGTCTCTATTGGCCATAACTTGAACTGGCCATAAAAAATGCATATTATGACTTTGTGTTTGCTCACAATTTGAATATAATTATGACTGAGATAATGTGGGAAATAAGATAGATAGAGATAGGAATCCGAATTCTCAGCATGAAGCCAAAGAGCAAAGCTCTTAGATCATAGCTCGACTGGTTTTCGCTAAGTATATTCAAAATATACTGTGTTTTCAGTGTTTTATGGGTTACCAAAAATATTTGTATTTAAAAGTAAAAATCCTATAGTCATAGAACGAAAAGTCAAGCATACTGTCAAGGTTTCAATGTGAAAAGCTTGGTTAATCAGTCATATTTCGGTATTCAAATAGGTAGCACAACCACAGGGCAAACAAAATTTCTCCAAAAACATTTGAAAATTTTTTAAGTTTTCTTTATTTTTGGGAAAGAAAAAATTTGTAAACATAATGTCAAACGGTCCTGAGTTTGGTTGGGAGTACAGTCACGGCGGAAGCCAGGGCAACAACTTCTCTCAGGTGAGTTACGTTGATGTTACCTCAAATCTTAACCTTATTGCATACTGAAATCATCTGCGAAATTAACAAATTCAGATGGGAATGAACGGTTCATCTCCTGCTGGTGGTGGCCGCCAGTGGCTGCACTCAAATCAAGGAAATGCTGCAAATACTGGCTTCATGCAAAGTCAAGGGCAGGTCTCCTACCCCTCGTCAGAGGATCCTTTTGCCTCATACAACCAAGTCATGATGAGCCAATATACGAACTACAAGCCCTCCTTCGGACATTCCCAAATGGAGTAAGCTAATCAGAGCTATCTTAAAAGGTTTTATTTTCATAAAATTTAGTAGATCATCTATGGTCAATGGCATGAGTCAAAATCCCGGCCAAGGAATGAGCAATGGAATGGGCCACGGGATGGGCCACGGAATGGGCCATGGAATGGGCAACGGAATGGGTCACGGCATGGATCAAAACATGGGCCAGGCCATGGGTCAGAGCATGGGCAATGGCCTTGGATCCATGGGTGGGGGTCAGCGGTTATCTGGCGGCAACAATAGGCGAACAAATGGTTTGTAAAATACCTTTGCCAAGTGCAAAATTTTAATTATTAATTTTCTTTTCTGCCAGGTCTCAACGATCCACCCCAAGGCAATAGATCAGGCTGGTTCTAAACTCTCAACTCCCGACTAAATTTAAATTCGGACCATCTTAATCGGAAAACCCATTCAAATCTTTTATAAAACATAGTTTTAACTGTATTTCCACAAAGTTTTGAACATACCCATAGACATAAATCTAAATCTTTTATATAAATGACAAGCGTCTTTAAATTGGCAGTAAAATGGAGATGTAATTCTCACCTAGAAATAAGGAAATTAAACTTATGTTTTTATATACATATGTACCCCTTACTTATCGATCTCGAAGGTTCCAACAATTAACGTGATAAAATATCTAAATATTTCGCTTATATATCAACCTAATCACATGTCCCTGACCATTTAATTGTAATCGATATTCAAATATTGCCGTGGGTCAAAAGGATCCATTAACGCCGGTTGACCTTCCGCCTCGCATCGGCTCGGTGCTGTGACCTCTGTCAGCGGGGATCTGCATGGAAATCAGTGGAGGGAATGCCGGAATGGGGTGGCTCGGGATGTCGCAAGGGCATAAATAACAAATGCAATGTATTTGTATGTATAAATTATGATGATACTATTAGTTAGCATGTCATTTGGCAGAGGGTCTATAAATTACGGACAGGCAACAACTGCACCGCACCCTGTTCCCTGTTCCGGCTGCAGTCCCATTTTTGGGCCGATGTGCATCCGTTTTTTTCGGGAGTTCTTATTAATAAATTTCCATATACTTAAGACTCCAAAAAGGGGCCCCACTCCTCGACTCCTCCCATTGGATCCACGCGCGTGTGTAATGATCTGTCGCCCTGGATCAGGGCAGCGGATTAATGGTAAACCGAACACATTTTTCATCGAACATTCTGCTGCATTTTTCCTCGATTTTTCTGTGTTTTTTATGCGCGGAATTCTCTCTTTTTTTCGGAAGAACTATGTAATTTATTTGTGGGCAGCAGCAGTAGCAGTAGGCGGGGGGGTGGGAAGTTCAGTAAACTATCTGGAATTGCTACGGTTATGAGACAGTTCGTCGTGCTCCAAATACCCGCCGACTGTTGGTTCCGCTCGGCTCCGATCTCCGTTGGAAAACCCTTTCACGGATCTCCGGACGGAATGCCGGTCACGTCTTAACCAAAGAATACAGTAATCACTCGTTTTTTTCTCGCCTTCATTTCAATTCAGTTTTTTTTTCGTGTTAGATATGTATATATAACATTAACTTAGTCCGTGACGGTTTGGCGGGTGTCAAAGGGGTCACATATAAATTAAAACAATTGAAATTTACATTAACATTTCTCGGCCCGAGTGGGGTCTTTACACCTCTTTTTTAGCTGCGATCAGAGGGAAGCATTGGGAAGAGAAGCGTTTTGGACTTGCAAGATAGTAAAGAAATATTCTTGAAAGTTAAATCTTGAAAATTCGATAGTATATTAAACAAAGATCAAGATTAGTTTCTATAAAAGTCAATAATTAATACATTTCAATACATACAATTCTTCAAAATGTAGAGCATTCTTTAAAGTTTAAGCTAATACTTTCTAAAATCTATCCAAAATAACTTAGGGTACTGAGGAAGGGGTTCTTTCTGTGACTGCCATTGCCCTTTCACATCGAGTAGTTTGAAATATCTTGGTGTTATTTTAATTCGTATTCCTTTTTTATTTCTATTTCTTTTTCTGTCGGTTGTTTTGTTTTTCGTTTCGAATTTGTTTTCTATGCACTTATTTAATTGTGTTTTTATATTTATTATGTGCTTTTCTCAAGTCGCCTTTTAATGTGCGCCACATTTACGTAAAAATGTGTTTTTAATTTATTTTCTAGACCGCTTTTTTGTCGCTTTATCGAGCTCATCGGGTTCAGGTTTAATTTCAGTTGATTCGTATTCGGACTCTGGTTTCTGGGTCTAGGTTTAGGTCCACGGGAAAAGGCAAGGCGATAAGCACGCACCATTTTGGTGGTTTTTGAATTCAAATTGAGTTTTTATTTTCGGGCTTTAGTTGCTGTAGTTGCTTTTATTGCCGCGGCTTTAGTGCCGTGTAATGAAGGGTTTATGGGGCACTACGCGAACCTATATTAAGTACCAGGCCCAGTTCCAGGAGTGTATTGTTGTCTTTTGGCTGCCTTTTATGGAGCCCTGTGTCGAGACGATAGTTTCTGTTAGATGACTTTTCGGGGCTATCAATCTGCGTCACACGATTTTATAGATATCACGTTGGATAAGGCTCGTTTCAGAAATAAGAAAATGGCTGAAGGCAAAGGTAAAGTTTTAACACAAAGAGAATAAACCATACTAGACTTAATTCTTTCGATAATATAAACATTGAGCTTATTATTTTGTTATAAAAATGTTAATACAATTGAAATTCAAAGAATTCACTGCATTAAGTGACACTCCCACGGATATATATTTTAAAACGAATTTCTGCACACAATGGCAAATTGCAGAGATTGAAATGATACATCTGTTAGAAGCTAACTGGCCTGATTCAGGGGCTCGGATTTCGCGTTGTTCGTGCGGGAGGGCTGGCAAAAAAAACAGCCATAAAATCAACACTTTGGTAAGCAAAACAAACCGTTTAATGCAAAACAAACAGGAGGCGACAGCAACTAGCCACACCTGGCCTTTTTTTTTTTGTTTTGCGAATAAAAAACGAGATGCATGTGCGAATGCCGTGTATTGATAAGGGCGTGTCCCGCGGGTGCAATGCAAAAAAATTGCTTGCAGCAATTTGTTCAACATTTTTGTTGAAAAACCGCAGATATCAATTGTCGGTTCAAGTGTCCCGGTGGCAGTGGTTCCTTTGCTGCTCCAAATCAATTAATATGCAACACTTTTTAGTGACATTTCTATTGGAGCGTAATTGAATCATATAGGTGACACTGCCCCCCCATTTCTCCCCCGGGTCCCATTTTTCATGTTTCGTGTTTTGTGTAATTCCAGCTGCCATCCCTATGTTAGGCCAGTTGACAACTCTATTCGGTGTCCACCCGCTGGGTGACCGCTGCATTTATCACCCCGAATCCGAATCCGAGTAATAGTCCACGTCCGAGTCCCGAATTTTAGTCCAGATACCAGCGGGTGGTGGCCAGTGTCCGGCCGGGAAGCGATTAACCTTCGCGCGGAGTGGTGTCAGTTTAAAGTTGCCATTAACACGCCATTGTTCTCGGCCTTTATGGTCACTATTCACCCCCATCGTTTGCGTCTTTTCAAACTATATATTTTTGGGTATTCCCAGGGCCAACTCCATTCCGGATCCCCGATCTAATTTCTTAATAGTTGATTGATTTGTCCAGCAGGAATAGACGAAACAGAAATTAGATACTCTTTTTGAAAAGCAAGTAATTTGATGAGTAATACAATGTGTTTTGAAGATTTTTCAGGGTTTTTTTTTTCGATTTTAAATAAATATTTTTAAATTTGATTTGAACTTTCTTCGATATTTATGCACTATTCATAGTTAATCTATACAATTCTTTAGTTGATTTTGAATATTAAAAATATACATATACTAAGTCAATGATTATTTCCATCCAAAAAGGGTTATCAGTTTTATTTTTGCTCAGGATAAACATTATTAAGATTGTCGCTGAATTAGTACTGTGATATTTCAGGTGCACTTCTTTCAATAATCTCTTAAAATTATTTAAAATTAAACGCCTAAAATTCTTTTAAATTTCTTATTCCTAAACCGAGTCAAAATCCCAAGAACTAAACTCCCTTTATTTAGTTTTAGACTCAAAACCAAATAAAATCGCTGAAGAGTGAAAACCGACATTTCTTGATAACCATAAAAACCCATTCGATGGCTCAAAAGTAATCAGGAAATTGTTGCCATCATTTCGGAGCGGGTAAGCGACAGCTGCCATCAGATGAATGACCATCGATTTTATTTTATTTGTCTTTCCACTCGAATCGATCGAGAAAAAAAGGGAGCAATGCCAACCAACAATTGCGCTAATTTCGAATTAAATTTTTAATCTCCAGCCGACGAGCAGTTGCTGGGCCCATTATCCATTATCCACCCACATGCGTGGCTCCTTCCGGTCAAACCATATTCACCCCTAGTACGGGTCATCTATCCAGTGACCGTCGGTCATCGACAATCCGTCCACTCCCTCGCCTCTCCTTCTCCTGCCCTGGTCAAACCAAAGACAAACGTCAAAATTAACGAAGGATTTGGCGATTTAACGCTCAAAAACCAAACACAAGATGAAATGCGACTCGCTTCCGAAACGAACACACGAAATCAAAACTCACACAAAATTAAATTCCAAGCGAAGGGATGAGACCTAAGCGGATTTGGAACGCCCACAACAATTTGTAACGGCCAGCGGACAATGGCAATGGCACGGGTCCAGAGGAGTGCGTGTGCCCAGCTCGAGGACTAAGGTTTTCCCAATAACTCGACCCGAACCCAGCTCCGGGAATCCTTTGGCACCTCCACGCCGAGGGGTTCCGACTGAAAGGTGCACTTAGCGAAAGATAAATTATTAATTATAAGGATGTTTTTACTTACTAAAATCTATTTTTAAATTTATTTAATAAAAAACAAGAAAGGAAGCTAACTTCGGCACGCCGAAGTTTGTATACCCTTGCAGATTGGTTTTCATATTTATATTATAAATTATAATGCCGAAAACAGACACTAAACAGAGTTTCATTAAATTTTACCTATACTTATTATGTTTACAGTTTGACAGTTACAGTTTTACATTCCCAGCTTTATATATTTTATACATTTACCGATCGCTTCTATGACAGCTATAAGATATAGTTGTCCGATTTTTATAAAATTTATACCAAATATCTATAATAATAATTTAAGCTCATATCTCGTAGATGAAAATACGTTAAAAAACAACGAAGTTATAATTTTTTCTATTACTTTCCCTATCGTTCCTATGGCAGCTATAAGATATAGTCGTCCGATTTTCATAAAATTTATACCAAAATTTTGAAATAATACCAGAAGCTCATGTGTCAAAGTAGATTAAAATACGTTGAAAAACAACGAAGTTATAATTTTTTTCGATTAATTTCCCGATCGTTCCTATGGCAGCTATAAGATATAGTGGTCAGATTTTCATAAAATTTTTACCAAAATTCTGGAATAATAAAAAAAGCCTTCATCCCAAAAATGGTGGAATAATATTGAAAAACAGCCAAGTTATAATTTTTTT